ATATATATATATATATATATATATATTCTAAAGTACACAGGAAGGCTGTTATCCTAATCCATAGACATAACTTACCTAGTGAGGGACTGTTATGTGCCAAGCAGTCTGCTAAGTGCTGGCATATAGTGGTGAGTGAACGAGATCTAACCAGCCCCTCTTGCGGAGTGACAAACAATAATATATGATGATGAATGATTGAGTATTCTGACAGGGTAAACACAGGGCACTGTGGAAGCACAGAGAAGGGGCACTCAGCTGGGACTTGGGGAGTCAGGATAGGCTTTCCAGAGGAAGCGATGTTTAAGCTGAGGCTTGAAGGAGGAGCCAGATAAAGACGAGTTGGGGAGAAGAGTGTTCTAGACAGAGAGAACAGCACAAGGAAAAACGCAGAGGCAAGAGAGAATACATCCATATGAGTCGACAGCAAAGAACCTCGGAAAAGAGTAGGAAGAGGTGAAACCAGAGAAAGTGACAGGTACCAGGCCTTGAAAAACCTTGTGGCCCATGGTATGACTTCTATTTTTCCTAAGTTCAGTGACAAGTTCCTAACAAGTTTTAAGGAGGGGAATGACATGATCAGATTTAAGCTTTTAAAAGATGGCTTTGATGATGAATGAAGTCTCACGTGCTGGTGAGCTGCCAGTGTTCTCCAAGGATTGTCAACAGACCTCCAGGGGCCTCAGGGCAGGCAGATGAAAGATATTCACCTCCAATTTTATTGGTTTTCAGCCCCATTTTGTGCTACTGCCAGGATGGCAGTCTTCTAAGCCCTAGACTTCCCCTGGGACTTTACCATTTTGTAAATCAGGGTAAACAATTGGGTTCCCAACTAGTACTGTCTACCCTAGATAAGTATACTGTCTTTTCCTTTCTTCTGCCTCTCTAGAGGCTTCAGTAGGGTGCCAATCTTACAATTTAGTAAATTTTTTCACTTTGGTTAAAAAAGAAAAAAAAAAGATGGCTTTGAAGGGAATAATTATCTACACAACCAATTAGAGACAGAAGACATTTCATAGGGACTTGAATGAATAGAACCCACGTCCCAAAAAAGCAATCTCATCACCTGACATTTATTTCACTTCTCTAGTTTCATTTCTTGGAGTCCTACAGGCATTTTCCTCTTCCGTAGTCCTTTTGAACTAAAGACCAAGCTTTTTGACATAACATGTCTCCTCTCTTTCCCTAGGAATTAAAGCAGGACATCTCCAGCTTTCGATATGAAGTACTTGACCTCTTAGGAAATAGAAAACACCCAAGGAGAAGCTTTTCCACCAGCAGCACTGAACTCTCTCAGAGGGATGATACCAATGATGGCAGTGGTGGGGCTCGGGCCAAAACCAAGAGTGTCTCTTTCAATTTAGGCTGCAAGAGAAAGGCCTGCCATGGGCCACCTCTGATCAGAACCATGCCAAGAGCCAGTGGTGCCCAAGGGAAGTCAAAAGCTGAGTCATCAAGCAAACGCTCCTTCATGGGTCCTTCTCTCAAGAAACTGGGTCTCCTATTCTCTAAGTTTAATGGTCATATGTCTGAACCCAGTTCAGAGCCAATGTACACAATTTCTGATGGAATCGTTCAGCAGCACTATATGTGGCAGGACATCAGATATTCTCAGATGGAGAAAGGAAAAGCAGAGGCCTGTTCTCAAAGTGAAATTAACCTCAGTGAGGTAGAATTAGGTGAAGTCCAGGGCGCTACTCAGAGCAGTGAATGCCCTCTAGCATGTTCCAGCTCTCTTCACTGTGCATCCAGTATCTGCTCCTCAAATTCTAAACTTTTAGACTCCTCAGAGGATGTATTTGAAACTTGGGGAGAGGCTTGTGACTTGCTCATGCACAAATGGGGTGATGGACAGGAAGAACAAGTTACAACTCGGCTCTAAGTCAAGCCCTTATCACCTGCTCTGGAACTCAAAAGAAAATTTATAATTTCCTTGCTTTGAGGTGACACAGAATATGATTCCCTCACTGCCCCCTTAGGAGAGTAAAACTCCTATTATTTTCACCATCTTTTATAGCCACATTCTCCATTTTTGTTATTTTATTTTTATTATTACTATTATTTGCCTTTTTATACCTATAAACACTAAGTCCATCTCACAACCAACTGAAGGGGTGTTGCCCCTAATCTGCAGAGGTGCAGTCGGGTGCTGAACCCTTTTGCTTTGCTTTTGTTACCCTTGCTTCCTTGAAGCTCCAGGTGCCACTTTGCTACTGTCGCTGCCGCACAGATTCCTGACCTTCCTCAGAACTCATGCCATTTTCCCATGGGGCTGAGGGACGTGGTCAGCAGTCCCCACCAGCTATCAGATAAGGCAAACTAACTTGCCTATCTTTGTTGCCCTTCAGTGCTACACGCTGCCCAGGCTGGTTCAATGAACAGCATCAAAGAGAGGCTGAATAGACTCCAAAGAATTGTCAGCTTGTGGTTTCTAGGTATAACTGGCCTTTTTGTTTTGTTTTTAAACACTACAACTTTTTATTGTGGGGGCTGTTTTTTTTTCTTAAAGATGTGTTAGTTTCCTAATAACGTGTGCCAATGAGATATTTACCCTGTAGTATATGTCATATTTAATAAGTTAGCTGAATTCCTTTCCTGTATTTGTGTATTTCAGTTAACTTACTACATTTTAAAATTTGATAGTATTGAAATCAGTATTTAGGATGTGTACTGTTTTTTTAAAAATATCTAGTGCACTCTGTCACTACATCTCATATATTGATTGGCAAGAAAAAATAATTAGCTAGTATATTTATAGGGTCCTATCTACCATTGATAGTTTTAATCATCATTGCTATCAAAGCATTTCTAAGATAAAAGCCTGAATTTGAAATATTTTTTATCAGAAAAATGACATATTTGCTCAGGTGTTGAAATCTGAAAAAAGAACTTCATTTTAATTAATTGCTGTATTAAAAAAAACCAAACAATTTTAGGTCTAGATAACCTAATTCAGATTGCAGTTTTAATATTCATTGGGGGCAGTGGAATTGCATGTGTAAACTTATGTTAGATATATAAGAACTCTAGTGAATTCACAGAACTATAAACATGATCCAAATTCCACTGTCTTCAAAGAAAGCTGCATTTATACATCCAAACAAATTATTTCCCCCAGCTTACGAGTACCTTGTCAGAATAAAAAGGTTCAAGTCAAAAAATGATGTCCTTAATGCATTTGGTCAACATTTTAGACCTGATAACCACCAAGCGATAACCTGCTGAGCAAGGGTGATTTTTACCAACATTAGCACAAACGTTTCAAATTTATATTCTAAGATATGACTTGAAACAATCCTAGGTCTGGGTCCCAGGATTAAATTAACAGTGTGCAGCCCAGAAAGGAATTAGTTAGGTGTCACCCTGTTCTTTTAAATGGCAACACCAATAGGAATCCATCTAAATTCATGTATGAAATTTCTGGTAAAAGTGAAATGAATTTTCAAACAATGTAAATATGCCTCTACGCTAGCTTTTGACATTGCAGTTTCTGTTATTTGAATTGAACTCCATCTCCATCCCTAGTGTTGGTGACTGATAGTCAAAATGTTTCACATGGAGAAGAGCCAACTTGGGGGCATGAGGCAGGAACAGGTGGAGGTGTTTAAGAATAAAGCTTAGATCCATGGAAAAGTGAAGAGAACAAGCTATGTCCCGACCCATTTGGCAAGAGGTTACCCCAAAATAATCACTGATCATATTTGAAATGGTCATTTACCAAAACCCAACTTCTCCCCTGTGGTACTATCATAAATGGTCCTGACATTAATAACAGGTTACTTTACAGAAGGAAGATTTCTAAAGTTACAGATTCAACTTTCCCAACTGTCAAATTCACTTGAATAATAATAGAACCTGGGCTACATTCCTAACTCATACCGATGACGCCAAAAAAACTGTAACACTATTTTATCAAAAGAAAAACATCTTTTTCTCACAAATACATGTACTTCTGACAACCTAACTGTTCTAGCAGTTATTTTATCAATTTGTCAGAAAACAGGGGAGCCAGACATAGAGACATGCTCCAAAATACAGTCCTCTCTTCTCCCTTATGTTCTAAAGAGAGAATATATATAAATCATAGTAGCTAATCTCTATTACCGAAAGAAACCAGTGTCATATTTCATGGAAGTAAATTGTTTCCTATTTTCTCAGGGTTACTGTCTTTGTGACTTGGGCTTAAAACCTCACTAGCTATGTTGAGGCTCCTTTAGGATGAGGGTTAAAACTAAACAACTATCGCACTAACTTCCATGTTGGTGACACCAACATTTTTATTAACTCTAACTCAGTAGAAAGTAGGAAGGGAAAGAGACTGTTCACCTCTTTACAATCTTGATCAGCTACTATCATAAGAGAGAGGCCAAAACACAATGCTTATATGTATGTCCTCTGACCCAAGAAAAGGTGTAAGCCAACTTGAGAGTAAATTCATAAACAACAAGTTAGAGCTAAAAGAGAACCTTAGAAAGGATGTACTTTATTCCAACCTCATATTATACAAACAGGAAAAAAAAAAAAAAAAAGAAAAAAAACCAGGCTCAAAGGATAACTTGCTCAAGGTCATACAGCTGGTCAATAAACCCAAATCTTCTAGATCCTATGATCTAGAAGACACTTATTACTAAATATGACACTTATTACCAAGCATACACAAGGATACTTCAAAAAATTCATGGAAAGCACAGAAAGATTAATAATCTTTCAATTCTATTTCCCCCCCCACAAACTTTTTGAAGTACCCTCATGTATTGTTATTTATAGCTGTGAAAATGGCCACTACAGATCCTTTTGTTCATTTGCCTAAAATGCTGTGAACTCCAAAAATTTCAGACTGACATATTTACATGTAAAGTTAAAAATGTACTGCAGTCAGAGCCGGCCCGGGGGCGCACTGGATAGGTGCGCCGCTTGGGAAGCGTGGCGGCGCTCCCGCCCGAGGGTTCGGATCCCACATACAGACCGGTTCCCGCTCGCTGGCTGAGCGAGGCGTGGGAGCAACACCGAGGGTTGCAGTCCCGTTGCCGGTCCCCGGTCCAGTGCGGGGGCGACACTGAGGGTTGTGATCCGTTGCTGGACACGGAAAAGACAAAAATATATATATATATATATATATATTTATTAAGTATCTACCATATTCTAGGTCTCTACATTGGCTTATGGGCTGACAAACACAAAGTTCTACATGCTGAGAAGCCCTCAGGAGAAGATAGTTGACAGATACTGAGGGTTGTGATCCATTGCCGGACACGAAAAAAGACAAAAAGGAAAAAAAAAAAATCCATATAATGGCTCACCTCTATTACAGTTGGCTTTCTTATCACTTCCAGACAACTTTGATTTATTTGATCCCATAATTACATTAACGACTCCCTAACAATTAATAAGGGTAAAAATATTACAAAGAAAGTGGCTGAACTATAAAGTGACTGTTGTTGAAGTATCTCCTCCACTTCTAGCTTTAAGTCCAGTGGAGTACAAAAACAGAGGAAAGATTCTAAAATCAAAACCATCACTTTTGGAAGATGCCAAATTTTACAGGGATACAAATACTCCAAGTTATACTTCTGTCTACTTACATGGGAATATTGAAACATCTCCAGTTCTTTCTGCCTCCCATATCATTTTTCACTCCACTGTGACCTAAATTAGGCTATTTCACCTAAGTCCAAAACATCTAAACACCTGCCTGCAATTTGATTAAAGAATTTTTTTTTAAAAAAAGTAGGGCTTCCACTATTTGAATAACAAGCACCTTTTTCAAAATGAACTTTATTCTTACGGCAGTGCAAACCCCCTCTGAAAAATTCAATGGGAATTTCAGAGAAAAATGTGAGGTGATAACTTAGCCAGAAAATAAACATTTGGCATTCATGTTGCATTGCGGGTGAGACAAGTAATGTTCTAATAGTTTTAGTAACTCAGACCTTGGTTTGTGAAATCATCAGGTAAAAAGTACTTAAAGTTAGGCAGAAATTCCTTTCTGTTTAAAAGTACATAGATAAAATTGAGCATACCATTAAGTTTTCAAAACAGGGCTAATAAACAGATTGCTTGTATAGTCAATGTAAACTGATGTAATTGTTTGGATCATTTCAATAACCTCTTTGTACCTACTTCATAGCTCCCCCCACCCCCAACCCTTGCAGCTTTGCCTCAAAGCTATGGAAGGGCATTTTAGATTGACTCTTTGGCTTGCTTTATCTAGATAATTGCTCTAAATATTCACTTTGTTGTAGAAGTAAACACTGGGAACTGAAGACCCCAATTCAATGTGAGCCTTACATTAGTACAGAGAAGCACTGCTTCTACTGTATTTCCAACGACTCTCTGAATCACTTTTTTTCCCCAACAAAAAAATGTGTTTTGGCTTGCCTTGCTTTTTGGAGGATATCTGTAAAAGTGAGAGCCCTGTCTGTGTATTTATACACACATGCACAATGAAACTTAATAGCATTTGATTGTTCTGGCTTTCATCCCTTTTGGTAATTACTAGATAATTTTGAAGGGAGGGGAAGCAGGGATAACTTCAATGGAAAGACACTTCCTGGGATGAGAACTGCTAAAATGAACCAACAAAACAGTATCCTCTGTAGCACAACTGCTACATTGACAGCTGTCAAGATTTGGGGTTTCTGATTTTAAGAAAAAAAAAAATGAAGCATTTCAGTCAGAAGAACTTACCTGTAAAATACAAAAATTTACACTTTTGGCAAAATAAAGTTTGCACACTTCAGATTTACTGCATACCTGACATATTACCATTCATATGCTCATATGTGGCAAAGGATTTTCACCTATATGCTGCATGGTGGTCCAGAGAAGAAGGTGCTAGTATAGGTGGTTTTTTGAGAGCTTTACTTTTAGAAAATGGAATGTTTAAGAAACAGAGGTGTTAACTGCTGGCATGACAGAGGCAGCAGGCCAGGGTGGCCCGGCATCTTTAAGCTCAGTATCTGTGCTATCCCCCACTCTAGAGTGGATTTGTATCTTGGAGTTATTAGTTTACTGGATCTCAGTTATGTTCTTTTTCTAAAG